TCAAGAGAAGCTGGGCTAGGCAGTGAAGCGTGCAGGTGATGGGGCCAGGGAAACGCCCACAGCCCAGGGGATCTGATATGGGGACAAAGTCACCTCCAAGGCGAGGCACATGGGCAGTGGCACATGGGCAGCAGTGATGGGCACATGGGCAGTGGTGGGTCAGGTGGACAGCTGCAATGTAGCTGCAGCATGGCAGCTAGGAATAGGGACAAGCCAGGGACAGGGCAACCTGCCTGGGCAGCCATGCTCCCCTCCCCTCCCAACCCCGCCACCACACCCCCACTTCACCCTCCCACCTGCCTCTGCCTGCAGCAGCACCACTGACTTGTGGTGGCACTAAAATACAAGTTCACCCAGGGTGCCATTTTCCCTAAAGTTAACTTTGCATCCAAGTCTTGCCAGCTCTTAGCAGAGGTGATTTTGCAAACTAGACAAAAAAAAAAATCACACCTTTGTCTAGTCATATGTTCAGAAATTTTAGAGCCCTGCCTGGTCAGGTGCTCTAGAATTGCAGTTATATCACTGATAATAAGTACGTTTTTAAAGATAACAAGATTTATTATAAAAAAACATGAGCAAGCAGAAGAGATCAGTAACCATATGTTAAGATACAGGCAGAGAGATAAGAACAAATAAAAGAAAATATTAGAATAGTAATTTTTCTGTAGCCCTGCATCTTAGCCCAAAGCTCTGAGAATGCAGCTTTAGCATCTCAGCTCAACAGGTGACAAAGCAGCTGCTGCCTCTGACCTTCCTGTAAGGGCTTCCATCCACTTCTCCTGTCAACCTGGAACACATACAACCTGCTAACTGAGGGACCAAAGCACTTCATGGCCAGGAAATTTTAAAGGGAGATATGCTCCCATGGCAAGGCTCTTTATTGAATAGCATAGCCTGATGACCATGTGTGCTTTCCTATCAAGGAAAGCGTACAAAGACCAACATGCTTTCCCTGTGTCTGAAGAATGGCATTTGTGCCCCAAACTTGAACAATTTTTCCAACTATTTAATTGATCTAATAAAAGATATCACATCTACCCAAACAAACTTGTCTGTCAATCCTTCATGATTACTTCTCTAAGCCATCTAGGCTTTGATCCTTGCTCAGGTTAGGTACAGACATTCAAAAAGCCCAAGGCAGAATCAATCTAAACTATGCAGTTTTCTGTAAGCAGCATAGTTTAGATCGGTAGTGAAGAGAACACGCATTTGCCCTTTGGTTGGGTGGAGATGGGCAAATCTTACACTAGATTCTGTCACTTTTAAACCAGTCTATGGGCATTTACACACATGCTCCAAGAGTGGGGTGGAGGGGAGGGGGGGAAGAGTGGAAAACACTGCACTTTAATTAGAGCAGCGCTGAGAGCCACTCTAATGAAAGTGCCCAGAGCATCTCATGTATCAGTGTTCCTGCACTGAAAAATGGCAGCAGAGGCACTTTAACTAAAACTCATCAAACATGCTTTAGTTAAAGTGCCCCTGCTGCCATTTTTCAACATGGGGATGCTGATACATGAGACTCTGGAGTCTGCTGGAGTGCAGTAATTACCATGCTCCAGCAGACTCAATTAAGCTGGGCCAGGTACTTTCATCACTGTCAGTCTACAAGCCCCCAAAATGTCTTTTTTCCCCTCCCCCCCACAATAATTTTAAAGCAGAAGATGCTCAGAAAACAATGAAAAGAATAGCTCAAATATTACAGTCCTTACCTTAGGTCCCTATTGCAAGAATATAGGGCAGAATCCCCAAATTAGCAATGAAGGGCAACATTCGCCTTCCAGTTATGTCAATGGAATGCTATTTAGCCCACTGGCTTCACAGGGGTTGCACAACTTTAAGCCTGGTGTAGAATGTAAAACATCCAGGTTCTAAATCAAGCACAACACTGTGGGCTAATCCAAAGACTTCTTGTGACTTCCATGGGCTTCAGAAGGAGGCCCAGAGGATTGCATATCAGCTAATTTTATAGTTGGGTTACCTAACTGATTTTGAGTGCAGCTTCCCAGGTTTACACTAAATGGTGTACATTTAATGACACATTATATAATTTCAGTTTCTGACTCATAGTTCCATTTGGTTAAACTGGGTTAGCATGTTACATAGCAAGTTTTTCTGAGCACATAAAAAAAGATATAAAATCCACATACTTTTGTGGCAACTAAGTTAGTTCACATTGAACATGCAATTTGTGTCCTGTTCTACAGATCCTACCTGAATGTAAAAAACACACTTGTTGAGCCTGCTTATCAATCAAAACTCCAGTTCTACGGGCACATTTTGTTTTACAATATTGGACATTCCTGGATAGGTAGTAAAAGCACAAACTGAAGAGTGCCAAATTCTGAGCACCATTAACGGGTGCAAAATTATGCCACAAAAAATACTTGCCTGAGCTGGAAACCCCTCCCCACCCAAAAACACCCCAGTTTGTATTGTAGCAGACATGGACTTTCACATCTCTGTCTCAGCTTACTTCTTTCACAATGACAACCAGCCTGCCTTTTTTTATTTCCAAAAGAGAAATAATGAAGGGAGAAAGCTACCAGTCTGGCAAAGAGTTGATTAGCAAAACAACAGAGCAAAACAAGAAAATTCACATTAACAATTACTCTTTTTAAATAAGAATGTAAGAAATCACTGAAAACTCACAAGAACTCTGCCAGTTAAAGTCTGGGCAGATATCATCACTCCTGCCCAGTCTTTTACAGAGGTCATCCAGCCCACTTCTGCTGCCACAGTCTCTTCTTTTTCATCCGTAGGTTTGCAGGTGCCATCAGCCTGGGTGTCCCCACTGCCATTAATTTTCTGGGCTTCCTGCAGAGTAAAGGTTTAGAACATTTAGGTATGTAAAAGTAACAGTTTGACAGCTACAGCCAAGAAAAGCACTAGTTCAGAGTTGTAATTAAAATTCTCCAGCTAGTAAATATGCAAATCACTGCTCTCTGCTAGCTCAAATTGACCTGGTTACATACTCATGAGTCTATGACTCTCTGATGGCTGTTTTATAAAGACCTTTATTACTAGTGACTACTAATGACCAAAGATTCAGGGTTCCATCTTTAGTTTTGTGTGCTATGCATTGGCAGTTATGATGTCTAATTACACTGCCACATATACATGTATTTATTATACACCCATCCAGTGCAACCTAAAGTTAATTCAAATAGGTGCATAAAAATGCAACTATAAATTATATACTTTTAAAATTTACAATCTCTTGAATTAATTTGCTAAATAAACATACACTGAGAAGCACAATGTAACAAGGCAATAATTATCAAGAGCAAGAGAAACAAAACACACAGCTGAGAATCGTCAGGAAGCTCATGTACTATCAGTAAACCCTTGCTTCAATGGAGGTATGTGCTTTAATATAGCTGATATATCACAGGAACTCCTCTGTCTGTAAGTGCTGGCCCATATGGAGCTGAGAGATGAAAATTAAAGAGGAGTTTGAGCAACACTAAGCTGACTGATAAGTCACACACTGGAGTTCATATTTGCTGTTGGTGGATACTGCAGTAAAAATGCCATACTCCTTCAACTGGCTTCTGTGTGCAGAAGTCAAGGATATCAAAGAGGAGTCAAAAGGAAAAGACAGACAAAGCTAGCCTAGATTGTAATGCATTATTTAGAAACAGACCATGTGCAAAGTATCATGATGTGCCATAAGCCTGCCTTTGGTGACAGCAGACCAACACAATACTAATGACTTCCTGATAATCTGACAAACTGTGCTGGACAAGCAACGTACAAATGAGGCAGCAGAACTCTGTCCTCTTATGTACTGATCAGCTTCGCTTTCTGTAACCTGCATGGAGGCTGACGGCACTTGGCATGGAGCAGGAATGCACAAACACCTTGAAAGATCAAATTTTTAAAACACTTTAGGCTTGGGAGCACTGTTTTCTACCAGTCCCTTTGAGAAGGTACCACAACTGAAAGTATGCAACTGACGAAGATGGTGATGAGTAGGAAACCACACCTGACACGATGCACAGTTGTACTGTTAACACTTTGTGCATATTATGAAGCATATGCCCAAAGGTATTTCCTGACAAGCATTACTGAACTAATATGCCAATTATATGGGATTTGTGAACAAAGAACATTACAGGAAGACTAACAAAATAGCTTGAAGCCAGTTATTTTTCCAGAATCTCACAGCTTTGCATCTCAGTTAACTAACTAAACTACCTAATTGAAATGTATATTGTCCTTTTTGTTATACCTCATTTTAAAGGGTGTCCCAAAAAACTGGACCAGTTTTTCTAATATTAATAATTATAACTTTAAAAGTACTGGATAAGTAAACATCTGGGAAAAATAAAAGCTACTTTTCTTTTCATTTGCATATCTGGACCTTATTCACTGATAAATGTGGATAGAATGAATCAGACCTTGCAATCAGTATTTAAGGAACTATACAGATTTCCATACACACAATCCACAGAAATAAACAAACTGTTTTGAATAATAACTGCTATTGAGGCACAGACATTTGCTTAGGATTAAATACTGGTTAGGGGAACTAATGACCAATGGCATTGCCAAGACACCCTAGTCAACCTATATGAATGCATTTTTCCAAAAATAATATTTTTATTATAAAACAGAAAAGAAAGAAAATATAAAAATTTAGATTTTTTCTGAATGGACTGGTGATGGCGAAATATATGGAACTCCAGTTAACCTAACTATTTCTCCTTTCATCTTAAAGGTAGAGTAATACCCCAGAATAAAGATTCTAAAAAATACTGTTGTCATTGATAGATCTTGAAGGGAGCAGGGGAAGGGGAGGGGTCATGTCATTGTTTTCAAATGAAATTACGTATTTCCATCCAGAGGTAAATTAAGGATAAAATGTATATAATGAACTCTGAAAGTAAAGGCTAGCAGAGAACTAAAGCTTCCATTTTTCTGAATGGACTGGTGACAGCATGAATTGGATACCTCAAGAAAAAAAAAATATACTGGACTTCAGCTAACCCAAGCTTGGCAACAAAAATGGTTTGATGGCTGGGGCACATGACTTTTGAGGAGAGGCTGAGGAAACTGGGTTTATTTACTATGGAGAAAAGAAGACCAAGTGGGGATTTGATTGCAGCCTTTAACTACCTGAATGGTTGTTCCAGACAAGGTTCCTTCCAAGCTATGCATGTGAGTGGCCACGCACAATAAAAAATCTTGTCATGCAGTAACTTTTTAATGCGACACACCCACCTGGAGAGGAGCTGGGCTGCGGCTTCCTGTAAACTTTGGGCGCAGAGCACAACAGAGGCATGGGGCTGGCACAGGATGCTTACCGGCGGTAAGTTACCGCTCGGCTGCTCAGTGGCCACTCCACTCTGCTCGTCACTCCTCCGTTTCACCCTCGCCACACCGGCATCCCTATGAGGACGGAGTGCGGTGCAGGGCAGGCAGTGTCTTCTCCCTGAGGCGAGGCAGGGGCA